AGCGATGGCCTTTCGGTGGCCCACAAAGTCTCGACTCGTTGTCCAGTTCTGGCGTTCAATGATTTGGGCGACTGAACCCAAATTGTTCATCGCGTGCGCCGACACCAGGAACTGGCCGTCCGGTGACCACGAGAGCCGCAACACGTGGGTTGTGCCGCCGCACTCGCGGAACGGCTCCGTCACGACTGTCTCTTCTGTCCAATCGCTTACTCGCCAAATACGTAGCGACTTGTCGTCCGACTGAGTGGCCAAGTATTTGCCGATCGGATCCCACGTCACGCCCTTAACGAGACCGGTGTGTCCCCTAAGAGTGGTCACAATTTCACCCCATTTCAACGCATTCCACACCACTATAGTGTTGTCCACTGAACACGAGGCCAACCAATTGTCACCGGGAGACCAACTCAGGTCCAGAATGTCACCCGAATGGGCGCGCAAAGTGCCGACCGCCCGATACTGTTCAACATTGCCCACAAAGCCATTGGTATTGGCATATCGGGCGCCTATTGTCCACACTATAATCACTTTGTCATCACCGGCTGAGGCCAAGTACTTGCCGCTGAGTGACCAGCGGACAGAGTTGACACACGCCAAGTGATTGTCCATTTGACACAACACTTTGGGCACGTTTTCGCTCTCCTCCAGAGACTCGTCCACAATGGGAGCCATATTCCAGACGACCACTCGGCCCGAGTCGTCCCCCTGACCACCGGTGGCCACACGACTGCCATCCGGATGGATGTCCAACGAGAATATGGGCCGACCTATGGTTGGAAGCGGTTATCAAAGAGTGGTTTCAATGAGAGGGCATTTAAATGTCTTGGTTTGCAAACCGTTGTGATTAATCCAATTGGGTTTCAAGAGTTTCATCGCGGCTATCGATCAACGCGTTGGCTGTCCGCTGGATCTGATGGGCAAACAAGTTGGTCAACGCATTGGCCGTAAGTATGGGCGAAGAGTTTGATCCAAGAGATGACAAGTGTTTAGGTATTTGTTGTCAACACAAAGAGAGTATAAGTACTGCACATGTATTGGGAGATCGCATACAGTGTTGTAGTGCTGTATAGCTATAGCTGTGTGTGAGTTGTGTTGTGATTGTGTTGTGAAACCCATTGAATCTCACAAACACTCAATCGCTTGCATAACATCTCCAGAGGGAGAGAGAGAGAGAGAGAGTCCGATACCCAAAGAAAAGTAGAGGTCTTTCTCTCCCATCTCTCACTCTAACTCGCGTTTACTATACAGTAGTTTACACACAGTGTGTGTCAGTGTATGTGTTTAACATTGCATTAGTGATGGTGTTAATGATGGGGCAGTTTGGCTGAGTTATACGGATAGAGAGTACACTGTATGTGTGTGTCTGTGAGATAGAGATTAGGCACTCGTATCCCATCTAATATTCTCTATGCATATTAAATCAGTGCATATTCTCTAGTGTTTTAACCTTTTTCTGTTAGCAAAGTAATTGTCTTTCTAAACGATATTCAATATTTCATGAAATTGTATTATATATTAGTTATATTCAATCGTCTTATATATACTGTTGTATTGAGTGTTGTGTACACTCCATGAGAATCCAGACACCGCTCACATCCACATAGAAAACAGTCTCTCTATCTCTCGTTAATGTATTTTAGCCAACATTTCATTTCAATAGACGCTAATCAATAAAATTGAAAGCTTTTTATCATATATTTTTTGTATG